CAGCAGGACGTCCATGTCTATGTCACTCCCAAGAGCCACTACTGTGGGCATGACATCTTGCTTCTTCATGGAGTTGATGGCCTCCTCGAGGTTCTTGCTTCCTGTGATGCCGTCAGTAATGAAGACAAAGGAGAGCTCAGCATTGCGCCGGGCGAGTCGCTGCCCATCTCCCGGGCTGAGCACGATGTTGTTGATGGCGTGTATGATGGCTGACCCAATGTTGGAGGATGAGTCCAGGTACTTGATCTGTGCCAGGGCATTGGAGATTTCTGTCAGGTTGTAGGTCAGTGGGAAGACCACATCCTGGTCCCTCTCACTGCCGTACTGCAGCAGTGCAATCCGGGCATTCATGTTGTCGCTGTTGCTCCTGGCCAGTGTGAGCTGTCGGGCCACCTCCTCCACAAAGTGGTGGGCCCTGTGGAAATTCTGCTCCCCAATCCTTTCAGAGCCATCGAGCAAGAAGACGACGTCAACAGGGCGCTGTGTGCATTGGGCCACTGCAAGCTCTGCAGGAGAAAGAAGACAAGAGTTGGGAGCGTAAGAAAGCCTACAGGATAAGGTTGGGGCTTGCCTTGGGCAGTTTGGGCTAGAGTTGCCTCTGTGCATGTTTGTCCAAAGAAGGACCAGCCCCACGCTGTTGCTAAAGCCTGTCTTTGCAGCTGGTAATGTATGAGCTTTGCTTCTGATTCCCTCACCTCCTGGGCACTAGGTCTTAATGAATGTTAATTCTGAGGCCTATGACAGACCTCCACAAGCATCCATGAGATTAGACAGGTCTGTGCATTTCAGTCCCAGAATTACATCCACCTTCTTACAGCAGTGCCCAGCTCTTACCTGTAACAGGAATATCCAGAGATCAATGGCAGGCAGTGTCTGCAAACCTCTCAGTTACTTCCAGAGAGTGGTTTACTTTCAGAGTTACTCTTCACACACAGATTTGTAGTATGAAAGCTGTTTTCATACCTTTCACCCAGATTAGTTTAATCAGCAATCACTAATTCCTGAAGAGCTTATAAAGATTGGGTCATATGATTGGAAAACAAGACTATCCTTGTCGATGCACCTGTACATAGTAAAGCGGCTTTTGTAATATATAACAGACTAATATTTGAGTGAAACAACAGTGGGACATTGCTCATTAGTCACTCAGAACAGCACCTGTCCACAAAGTGGGCATATACACAGCGAATGAACTCAGAAAAAAAAGGAGAAGAAAACAGTCATCTTTGGAGACAGTTGTTAGTTATGGACCATTATTTTGTTCCTTTGCAGTAGTTTTGTGTATTGCATTTGGTGTTCCCCTGTGTGCACTGCTTCTCCAAGAAACACTGCCATTACTGCACTGTTGAATTTTCTTCTTGTTCTTCTTTTGAGTTTCCTTCTCTGCTGAAAGCATTAGTCAGGAATATGATTGCAACAGCAGTATTGATTTGTGATGTACACGCTGCAGCTGGCCACCCCCTGAGTTGGAAGCAGGGCAATGGTCGTATAACTGTCAAGCAATTCTGTTGCTCCAAGACTGAATCTTGGAAGAGTGAAGTCCTGGAGGCAATGTCATGTTGTGTTGCATGACTGGCAAGGAACAGGAGATTCTGGAGCAGCCCCAGCTTGAGCATCCATTTCTGGCAACAAGGAGCAACATTTGGGATATGAGTATCACATTAGGTTGAATTTCCGTACTATGAGCAAATCCAACTTGACAAAGTGCTTCCTCAGCGCTGAATGCTGTTACACCTGGACTCAGCATCGTGGGGTGCTAAAAAAAGCTGAGCAACAAATGGATCACTGTTTAGTACATTAGTACTATGTGTGTAGTCAACATTCGGCAAACAACAAAGTTATATTTTAAGCAAAATAGATACATGTTCTCTTGAGACTACAGAGACACTGTCCAACATGAATCCAATAGCCAAGATAGTGTAGCAGAAGCTCTGATGGTGCATATCATTGAGATCACAGACTGTTTGGCACCACTTCCATCCATGATAAAACAGTCAAACTTGATGCAGAAACTTCTGCTGGTACTCATGGTTTAACCTGACTCATTGGTCATAAGTCTGTGGTTGTTTCTGTATCATGTTCCCTGACCTTGCAGGCTGGCATTTCTCCTTATCCCACACTGTAAAACATATCTACAATGATGGCATGCCCTGAATAGTGCTTACCATACATTGTCTTACTGCAGACAACAGGCTTCTGCAATGCCAGTTCTGACTGCAGTAGAAACCAATCTCCAAGTGATGCTTTTCCCTCGTGAGCTTTTTGAATATCGCATTTTGAAATTCAACTGCGATACTCCACTCCTTTAAAGCAATAAAGGTACGTACTCACCTCTGCCCAAACTTCCTTGAGAAATGTTGTCTAAAGGTACATTGGTGCTGCAGTTCCTGGTACACAGTCACTGCTGCCACAAGGATACTTTGCCTTGGCAGTGCCTGCACTCCTGGTCCTCACCTGCTCTGTGCGGTTGTGGAGGGGGAAAGGAAGGAATGCATGCCCCTTGCAACCACATAGTCCGAAATCTATGTAGGTGTCTGCAAAAGCAGGTGGAAGCGAGCGGGTAGGAGTGAGGGCTGCCTATTGTGTTGAAGTGTTACCAGTCCGTCTGCCCACACGCTTGTCTACACCTAGTTGTGTTTCTTGAGATGCCAAGCAAGATCCACGTACCTCCCACAGGACCCGAAGCAAGCCTTAAGAGCTACTAGTTAAGCAGACCGCAGCTGAGAGCAGCATCACTCCATGGAGCTTCAGCGAGAGTGTAACACATGCCTGGCTCTCCAGGCAGCCTCTACTGCAGGAGCACTCCACAGAGACACTCCACTTGCTGCTGAGCCCTCAGAGCTGGAGCAGGCTGCCTTTGAGCTGTGTGATAAGATGCTTTTACGTATGAGTTATCCCATGGGAACACAACAGATGCGAGGCAGTGCAGCAAAACTTTGGGTTTGTCCTGTTCAGTGTCACGCTTCAGTTGCAGCTTGTTCCCGTTTCTGGGAGGCTGAGGACCCAAGCACCCTTTCCTGCAGCAAGGAACAAGATTCTCATCCTTAACTGGGAGATAAGCCATGAATTAGGCCAACTAAAATCTTCACATCATGCTTTTAATTGGAGCACCAGTCCTTCTCATGCAGCTTAACAGCAAGGCACGAATGCCTGCAGCTCACCGTACTGCATACCATGTGCTAGGACACAGCTGAGGACATCTAACAGAGATAGCACGCAAAGCAGAAATACCATTGATTTTCCTGCCATTAGCAACCCATCTAGTTATGTGCATGTGCAGAGTAACCCCACCCATTCACATCATGTTCCTGCTTCTTCTAAAACCTAGGTAACTTGTATTTCCTCTATTATTTCACAGTGTTGACAGTGGAGATGAAAATGACAGCAAGATGGGGACTGATCTCCCAGCTCTTTCCGGGGCTTCCTGCTTTTACAAGCCCTCCTGTGTCTTTGGGGAGGTGTGGACTGTCCTTTCCCCAACCCCTGATCTGTGTCCTTCCTTTGCCCAAGTGCTTCACTGAAGGAATTGCTGCTGTTATGAAATCTAGCTGGTTTTATCAGAGGGATTAGCCAGGATTATGTTAGCAAAACACCACTACACTCACTTGCCTCTGACTAATAAGGGCCAACGCAAATCCTGTTCAGGCAAAGAGACATTTTCTCTCTTTTTTTTTTTTTTTTTTGTTTCCATAATGAGCTGAAGGTTTTTGAGAGGTAAAAAACTTTGTTTCCAATGTTGCACTGCTCTGCTAGGAAATATTTCCAAAGGAAATGAAATAAAAAACCACTGTGTGATGAGGTCTAAACCCCCTTTGCTGAAGTCTTGCCAAATCCTCCTCTTGTTCAGCAAGATGT